ATATTCTGTTTAGCTCAAGATGCTGTCTGGTTTCACCAATGTTCTAGGTGAAAATGTGGCAAGATAGTTTGTATCTTGGTGCATTGTGTAAACCCAGGCAATTGGGTTAATTTGATAAACGGTGTTTCAGTTAAAGCATGGATGAATGTGTTATGCAACCATAAGCAACAGAAGGAATACTTCCTCTGGTCTCAGGCTCCAAGACAAAGAAATGTTGAGACAAAGAGGTGTGGAAGCAAGATGTAGGGCAACACATAATTTAAGAGTAATCTGGTTGGAGTCATGCACAGCAACTATACTATAAACTTAGGGTAATAAGGCATAATTGCTCTGTTCCCATAACCTGCTAGCCCCAAACCAGTAAACCATATCATGGCATAATGTGACAACTGGGTTTGTGCAACTGGTTAAGGCATTGGCTTGATTTCCACCAACAACTAACTCCATGTTTAGCTACCCTGTTTGTTGGGTCCACCCAGCTCTGCATAATAAGGAGCAGAAAATCCTGAGCTTCTTATTCTTCTTCTCTTTCTAGCAATCATGGCCTGCCCCAACCTTGACAGCATGGAACTGCTGGATCTCCTCTTTGACAGGCAGGATGGAGTTCTTCGCAATGTGGAGCTGGGATCCTCAGAGACCCCTTGGATGGCACAGGAAGACAGAGTGAGCAGATGGCGCTGGGCTGAGAAAGCGGGGGTGGGGGCAGCAGCTGGGCAAGATTTTGGAGAATAGGGTTAACTGCTCCGTTCTGGCCAAGAGCATTGAAAATATCCTGTGCTCAGAGCAAAATTGTGTAGGTTAATTTCAGAAACAGGAGGAAGAACAGAAATAACCTTGGAGAAGGAACCTGCAACAAAGCATGAATTAAGCCTGGGAAAGGTAGAAGTTGTTAGAAAGAAACTCAAGACTGCCCCACCTTGACTCCCTTTCTTATAAGAGGAAAACACTGTCAAGCTTCAAGATTCTGCCATTATAGCCTATATCAATAAAGCAGAGTTCCAGTATCACTTGTGGAGTCTGTTTCCTTACCTGGCCCATCTTGAGGGGCTGACAGTGCCCTTGGCAACACCAGTTGGTCAGTTCCCAGTTGAAAATGTTCTAGTCATTATTATTTTGCAAACATTAAAGGAAACAGAAGAGCAGTGAATATACTAGGGAGAGGGGTACTTGAATTCCCCAGCTTAATTCTGGTGTCTTAAATTTTACTAGGTATTTTTCTTATTAGGTATTACCCTCTTTGCGACTAAGGCTAAAATTGCTTATTTTTCAATGAATTGAAAACTGAGAATATCCTGTTTCAGGGCTTATATTGCATGATTACAAATGTTCAGAATGTTATGAATGGTTTATGCAGCACCCAGAAGGAAATTAGTTTCTAGTTTGTTCTGTTGAAGCTTTGTTTCCTTGTAGGCCACTTCATGGAAGTTGCTTTCTAAGGTTGCTTCTTCATGGAGAACTTCTTCTGCATTCTATCTATAGGATTTACTGAACACTCAAGAGAATGAAGATTTCATCAACTCCATCTTGGGAGCTACAAACACTGTCCTAGATTCCCCAAGCTGGTCTCCAGCTGCCAGTGACAGCGGTATATCTGAGGATCCAAATTCTGATCAGCTGGACAGCCCCTCACATTATGTTCCAACTGGAAGCCCGGGGGCCTATTCTGATGGAAGCTCACCCAATGACCTGGCCTTTGCCCCCTGTCAGGACTCCTGTCAAGCGTTGCCTGTCCTAAAAGGACCAGCCACTGAGCTGAGAGAGATGGAAGTGTCCATAGACTTTGGTAAGTGCCCTATTTCTCCTTCCTTGAATGTTAAACCAAGTGAACCAACATCTCTGGGGCACTTAGGAGAAGGCCTCTCGCTGTGTTCACACATAAAAGTAAGGCATGATTCTGAACTGGTTTATTAAATTTGCATGAGAACAAACAGCTTGCTGGCACATGAGGCCAGATCATTTATTTTGGTGGGAGTAAATGGAGAAACTAAGCAGGAAAAACTTAGTGCAGGGAAACACACCATCTGGTCATTCAGTTGCTCTTGAACTCCAACTCTCATCAGCCGTACTCAGCTTGGTAAATGGAGAAGGAAAATGAGAATCGCAGTTCAGCAATATACGAAGGGTGTATCTTGTCCATATCATATGCTGACAATATATAAAGCCAGATTATGGTTAGTTACCCCCAAACAAACTAGATGTATAAAATGGGTTCCACCAGTGTAATTGGCTTGCAAATCCTGGTTGTTTGATCACATTAAATCACAAGCCGTACTCAGCTTGGTAAATGGAGAAGGAAAATGAGAATCGCAGTTCAGCAATATACGAAGGGTGTATCTTGTCCATATCATATGATGACAATATATAAAGCCAGATTATGGATAGTTACCCCCAAACAAACTAGATGTATAAACTGGGTTCCACCAGTGTAATTGGCTTGCAAATCCTGGTTGTTTGATCACATTAAATCACAATCCCATGGACAGATCATGCATAGATATGGCTGCCCTCTCAAGAGTGAGGGTAACAAGTAGAGCTGTGCCAGGCATCCGATCTGATCTCCAAAAAGTGTTTCAGTATATACAGGAGCACAAAAATGGGCATGTGTAACCTTAAAACAGCCGCATCTTTTCCCTGGACTGTAAGGCAGCTTGTGATGACCGAAGTGGCATTTGGTGTGCTGGCTTGAAAACAGTCGAGGACATGTGCTGGCTCAGGGCTTTGAAAATGACAGAATCCTCCGTCAAATTACAGTTACGATACAAAGCAGTATTCCCGCCGTGAGGCTGAAATAGGGATGAATTGGGTCTTGCCTGAAATATCTTCACTCTCTGATGCGGCAGAACCCATCGCTTGAAGTAACCATTGCAACACAATAACACCCCAAATGCCAGTCGAAGTTTGGACCCCAATTAGGGTGGCATCAAACAAAGAGCTGTGGGGTGGGACATTTTCCTTAGGCAGCAGAGAAGAATTAATAGTGAAGCAAGAGGGTTTTCTAGAATCATTGGATCCTGGTTGTTGCAAGATAGAAGCTGGGATACTTTTTAGAATGTTTGGGCTTTTAGTGTGAAATTAATATTTTCTTCCTCCAGGTGCCTACTCATGTTAACTTTGTTATCAAGGATGAGATAGACTATTAGCTTAAAAAACAGCAACAACGACAGCAGCTCAGATTAGTAAGTAACCAGAAAGGCCTGATTGACCCCTGAGGAGTTGCTGCCAGCCAGATAAGATAATAATGAACTGGAAGAACAAACTATATCTGCTTTAAAGCACCTTCCATCATGCACACTGAAAAGCTGGAGTTCTTCGTTCCCTAACCAGTAGGTTCCCTCCTTAATTTCTTTGCAGACATGTGGGCTACTGGATTTTATCCAGAGGAGAGGCAAGTACCAAATGCCATGCATCAGAATCCACCCTCCTGCACACTGACTATTAAAGATCTCCTTCTTTCAAACAACTCTGAAATGGCAAGTATTTCGGTCCTAATGATGATTATGACGATGATGTCTAGAAACCCAGTTTATTTTTTGTGGTTAAGTTATTTCTAAGAACACCTGAAGATGCTTTCTATTGATCTGAATCACATCATTCTTACCTTGTGATATTCTAGCACCAGCAGGCCATGAACCCATCAGTGATGAGGCAAACCGCAGGGGCTTGCCAGGAGCTGCTGCTGACTGAGGATGAGAAAAAATTGTTGGCCAAGGAAGGTGTGACACTTCCGACCCAGCTCCCTCTTACCAAGGTAAAGAGAATGTAGGCTGTGCTTTCCCTCAAATGTCATCTGGAAAAGCAGATGCTAATGAGTATTCAGAGCATATGTCAAGCATATCAGGCCTCCCATTCTTGAGCAGCCCCCATTCCTTTCAGTGGGGCTTGCTCAGGAAAACATCCTCACCCCATGCCTGTTGTGTGGCTCCGTATCTTGCTTTATCCAGACCTGTTTAAGAGATTCAGGATAGAATTGGAGCTGTCCAGCACTGAGTCCCATAAGATTAGAGGTCCTTTTTCACTGGCTAAGCTTTAATGGAACAACGTGAGACTGTAAGGCATATCTTGCGTATCCCAAATGCTAGCTGCAAAAGTGGGAGAAAATCAAAAAGTTGTTTTATACCACCTTGAGCGATTCATAGCTTCCCAGGGATAACTAATGCAGGATTTCAGAATTTAAGAAGTCTGGATATCTCTATCCACCCACCCCACCCCATTGCTCAAGTATCACAACTGCTCTGAACCACACTCACTGGAAAATACTGGTCCCATGGCCCAAAGGGAATATAATGACAATTTCATTGAAGTATTTTTTTTTTAATAAGGACTTAGGACATTTGCACAGTTCTTCATAAATGGACCAAAAGCTCTTGGAATTTGATTTAAAAAAAATGGGTATAGGTGAAAGCAAAACAAATGGCTAAAATGAATCTCTTTGTGCCGGCAGTATGAGGAGCGCGTTCTCAAGAAGATCCGGAGAAAGATCCGGAATAAGCAGTCAGCACAAGAAAGCCGTAAGAAACGGAAGGAATACATTGATGGTTTAGAAAGCCGGTATGCTATTTTCCCACGTTCTCATCCTCTGTCATTTTGAGTTGGATCTGATCCCCAACAGTTAAATTAGAACAAGGGTCAAGACATCTTTGTCCTGAACATGCAGGTTCTGAAAAACAAAAAACAGTGATCAGGATTGCAGTTACTTTAGAGGAGGGGGAAATTTTACTTCCTCCTGTCTTGAAATGCTGAAGAAAATCCTAAAGGAGTCGTTTGCATTAATGTTTTTAGGGCTGGTGAAACCTTTAGGCGTCATCATGATCCAGCCTCTTGATCAGTTTCTCTTCTGTACTAATTATGTCAGACTGGAGAACTTAAAAGGTGAAAAAATTACCTGGCATTGCCGTCCCTCCCTGTTCACCTCTGTTGGGCTTTGCTTTTCAGGATGTCAGCTTGCACAGCTCAGAACCAGGAGCTACAACGGAAAGTAGTTCACCTGGAGAAGCAGAACTTGTAAGTTGTCAACTGCATGGGGCATTTTGGCAATGTGGCAATTCAGTGACGTTTCAAAATCACCCTGAATATGCAAAGTGCACATATATGGAAGCAGTGGTTCAATTTCATTTTCTTGATTTTGCTCCAATGTTCATATTTAAATTTAATTTAAACTAAGCAATGTTCTACCACTGGAGGGAATAAAGAAGAGATGTTCCACAACATCTCTGTTTCTTTCCTGGCCATTCCCCTGTCTCCAGTACCTCCAGTGTGGCTGGTATCCATTGAATCAAGAGAAGAAATTCTCACCCTGTTAATTTTCTGGATACACCCTCTGCCCCCTCAAAACAGATCAGGATTCCTAACACATAGCACTGTTCTCTCCTCCTTCTGTTTCTCCCAGGTCTCTCGTACAGCAGCTAAAGAAGCTCCAGGCTATAGTGATGCAATCCAGCAGCAAGGCTGCACAAACAGGCACATGCGTTGCGGTATGTCAGGGACTGTGTGCACGTGTGTGTGCGTGGGTACCGGAATGGTGATGTTTAACCATTATCTCTGTTTTTGCAGTAGCACCTGAACCAGTGTTTTTTAAACTTGGCAACTTTAAGATGTGTGGACTTCTTAAAGTTGCCGAGTTTGAAAAACATGGGCCTAAACTCTTTAGTCAAACCTTGAACCTTTTGCCTCTTGCAGCTAACTACGGCACAAACTTGCTTCAGCAACCTTTTTTTTCCTCTTGTCCCCCATGATATGGCCTTCATCTCACCCACAGCCTATTACTGAAACAGGTTTAAGTCATCCTGAGTTTTATCAGCATTAAAGTCTTCCTCCCCTTCCAACACCATTCAACAGCAACCTTGAGGTGTCTAAAATCCATTAGACTGTCAAGCCCCAAATGGCAGTGCATGATCAAGGGAGCACCATTCATACAACATCTCAATCAGCAGGAAAAAGTGGTTAGATTTCAAAAACTTGGAAACTAAGAAAGCTGCAGTCTTTGTTTATTGGTGAGCATATTAAGCCAGGGTCCCTGTAGTTGCTTGAATGACTTTCTCACAGTTTACCAAACTGATGGACTGATGCCTTGCTGAAGAGATAGGCTGAGATGTCCATCTGAGTCTCATTTGCCATATTTTGCAAAACTCCTTTTTCTTTCCAGAGTCCAAGATTTCCTTTACATGGTCTCTGCCACCCATGACCCTGGAGGGGACTGTAGCAAGTGGGGTCAAAGAAACAGGGATGGGTCTGCCAAAGGGAATAGCAAACTTCATGCCCATGTTGTTGTCTGATGACTCAAGGATGGGTGGAGAGCACTTCACTTCTGCAGTGGGGAAAGTTTCCTAATTTAAGAGGGGTTACACCAAGAGTACACCCAGCCCAGTCATATGCTTCAGAGAGGTTGAACTGAAGCCACTTATCCATCTCCCGTAGACACACATCTGCTTGCTCCCAGAAACTGACATTCAGAGAGAGTTTGCTTCTCTGCATGGAGATTTCCTTTTGTCCTAGTAGGTTATGGCTGCTATCAGATTTCTTTTCTTCTTCCTTTATAATTTTTTTCTAATTCCTTACAAAGAGATGCAAACTGGCATCCCTGGCTGTAGACCCTTTCTGGTTTACTCCAGCCGTCGAGCCTTGATGGAAGAAAGATATCAGTCCCTTTTTCTCTGTGGCTCTGCAGGTCTTGCTGCTTTCCTTCGCACTGATCATCTTTCCATCCATCGGCCCTTTCACCCGCAACAAAACTGAGACCGGGGGTGACTTCGTACCTGTGCGAGGTGAGCTAGGGAGCTGTGTAGGTGGGTGGGCATCTGGGCAGAGAGAAGAGGAGGCATTGAAGTGTGCCCTCTATCAGTCTCAAATAACGAGTTGGCAGTAATAGCAGAAAAGTTGATGATTAACTCTGCTGAAGAGACAAATGTTGATTACACTGATTTATGGTCCTCATTCCAGTCAGAAGTCCAGGAGCTCCACTGAAGAGTTTATTATTGAGAGGAATGGACTGAGGAGTCAACCATGTCTTTGTTTTATGCACAGATATACAAACCAGATTCCCCAAGTGTGAGCAAAATAGTTGACTCTTCATTGGATTCCCAAGGAGCCATATTTGGCCCCCAAGGATTACCAGACTTTTAGATAACTTCTGCTCATATCACAGAGTCAGATCTGTGTTTTGGTTGAAGTTCCTAGCTCACGTGAGTTTTGCCCAATCATGACACGCCAGAGGGGACAGCCCAGACTTATAATAGCTTAAAATGAGCCCCAAAAGCTCAAAAAGACGTTTGAATTTTAGAGTTCCCTAAACTTGAATCAGGTCAACTTAAAATTAGGTTGAACACTTGTCCGACCAAGGCAGGTAGCACAGCCCATGTTGACCATTTATGGAACCTGCACGGTTGTCAGGATGAAACAGAAAAGTGGCTTGTAGAGTGCGGATTAGTAGAAGGCAGTGGATGCCTCAAGAGTCTTCTGGTCCCTTTGCAGCTCACCCGATCCATTGTGCGTGTCACTCATGCTGCATGTCCCCCCCCCCCAGTTTTTTCTAGGTCCCTCCACAATGATGCGTCTTCTAGAATTGTCAATTCCCTGGGCAAGGATGTTGAGCAGAGTGCCTGGGAGGCCAAGGAGAGCCTCTGGATTGAGCAAGCTCACAGAGAGGACAATCCCCCCAGCGCCTTGATCAGAGACCATGTGCTCTTGGGCCTTCAGGAGGAGGGCAAGACCCTGCAAAACAACTACACGGAGCTTTTCCCGGAAGGCAGACACGCCCATTTGGAAGGACTCAGGCCTAGCGATCTCCCTCCAGGCCAGAATCTGACGTCAGTGGCATGGACTGAATCTGACCAGCCTGGGAAAGGGGTCTTGGAGCAGACTGAGGAGCTGTGACTTTCCATCCAGCTGCTTCCCCTCCCCGGCCTGCTATTTGGGGACTAAACCGAGATGGGGATGGGGGCGCTCTGAGTGTGTGTGGAGTGGCATTGCTTCTCTCCCAGGCAGTGGGAGGGAAAAGTGTGGAAGAGAATCACTGTGTGAGAGAGCAAGGGGACTGAATCCTCTTAGGCTGTTTGGGGTCCACCTGAGAAAGACAGGCTGAGTCCTGGTTTTCCTCTTCCATTTTTACATCCAGGGGAATTCTCCAGGATGGGGGTGTCAGCAGGTCTGTAGTTGGGGGGAGGCCGCAAGACCTGTTGCAAACAGTTCCTCTCCCCAGTCAGAACTAGGGGCGTGCAGGGTTCATTATAGGGAGAAGGCATGGAGCTTGAAATCTGATTTTTCCCAAGCCCTTTGGCTTCTGAGATTTCTGTTCATCTTTTTCAGACATATGGTTTGCAGTGATGATGGGTGGAAACGTGTTTTTTTTTTTTTTGCAAGGAGGGGAAGAGAGTAAAAGCTAAAGTGTATGGTTACATTTTGCAGCTTTTCAGAGGTGTACCTACAGAACTGCGGTGCAAGCATTGTCCGAAGGATAATCCTTCTCTTGCAGGGTTAGAGTCCAAGAAGGACCAAAGGTTCACCTAGTTCAGCCACTGCTATCTTTTTAAAAAAACTTATTTTCAACATGAACATAAAATGTAATCTGTGCCTCTATAGAAACTGATAATGAATGCAAAATGGGAAGGGTTTTCTTCACCTGTTCAGATGGTTTATGCTGAGTCTTGCACATCTGATTATGTAAGGAAGAGCTGCTCTTCAGGCAAGCTTAAAACAGCTTTGGAAAGCATCTGTTCGTTTTATTTTCTTCGTGTTTCGTGAACTCCCGCTTTCGGCCCCCACTGCTTGGCTGCTTTCCATTTTAAGGCGTCGAGTGTGGTGCCGTTTGTTATACATGTGATTGCTTCCTAGAATGACATCCAAGTTCCAAAGCCAGCTCAGAAGTTTCGCTGTCTCAGAAGCCCTCCTAGTCCTAACTTCCCAATTATTTTCTTTTGAGGACCCAACAGCAGGTCTATTGGATCCGGGGTGCAAGGCTCCAGATGAACACAAGGTGGCAATAAGACCTCAATATTTTCAGTATCTCTTCCTTGCCCTCTAGTGGCTGATTATGTTTGTTGCAGCCCAAATCTGGCAGCCGGGAACAGCAGCGCTTAAGTCTCCATCCCGAACCCCATGCCTTAAAGATGCTTTCTTGGCACTGCTCTAAGGGGCTTCCTGTTTCATCCAGAGCCACCTTATTCTCCTGGGTTTCTTCCTTGGATAGAGCCCCTTCTCAGTTCCCAGGCTTGAAGTATAATTGAGAGCTGTGTATAAATCCATTTTGGAATAAACCTTGGAAATGGGACACTTTCATTGCAAAAGGAGCAGCTGCCCTGGATTAGTGTGATCCAGCAGAACTAAGAAAAAGGTTCCTGAAAGCAGGAATGTGGGGACCCAGAGCCTTGATCTGAAGCAGGTAGGAGCAGGGGAGTCTGCAGGGCATGGTCAAAAAAGTCAAGAGGGCAGGTGAATGGGTGGAACTTTGTTCACACCATCATCGTCATCTTGACTTTTTTTGACCATATCCTGTGGTCAGCCATGGGTGGATGTTGAGAACTGCTGAGCTGACTTTGAAGGAGTGGTGGGCGGACTGGGATCAGAAATTGAGACGTGAATCCCTTTGCAGCCCTGAAATACAAGCAGCCAGAAAATGAAGACCTGAGTTAACATGTGACCCATTACATGCACAATAAATGATTTGAGTTGAAATGAATGATTGGCCAGCTAGTGGATTGGATTTGTTTATACCTTTTTTCACACATGTGGCAGTCTTTTGTAACAAAGACTGCCTTTGAAAGGGGGAGAGGACAGAAAAGAAGTGGGCAGAACAAGAGGGAGGAAGGGATGAACCCAGAGGGGAAAACAGGGCGCAAATTAAGACTTAATGTCCTGTGTGAATGAGTCAAATTCTCTGGGGATGGCCACTTGGGTAAAGGGGCTTGAAGGCTTTAGTGGGCAAGAGATCACAGATTCATAAATAGCTTTGTCACAATTGCTCAGTATCTGTAATGCTGTGTGGGAATGACCTTGGGAGACAGGGGGAAGAGCCACAGCCTAGGCAACAGATAAGCGTCAGCTGAGCCCACAGAAGGAATGTGGGTGTGGCAAATGTCTCTGAAGGAACCTCCCTAGTGTCTTGGACTGTAAAGGCGATGGGGGAGAGATATACTTTCAGTCTTGCAAGATTCTGTCAATGTAACCTTACAATAAAGATAGAGGTGGTACTCCTGGGTGTGCTTCTTGTCTGGACTACCTTGAAGGGCTGACACAGCTAGACAGAAGCACATGTACAACCTGTTTTGCCACCAAGCAGGGCATCTGGACATACAGGGGAAAAAAGCTAGTTCTAATTCCAAAATATTTCTGAAGTTTCCATAAAGGTTACCCAAAGCCCAGAGATCCAATTCAGAACCCCCCCCCCATTACTTCCCTTCTCTTAGCAGACACTTAGACACTGTTTCCAAGAGTTTTGCTGCCACTTCACTGAAAATATCAGTGGCTAATTCAGTGCTTCATGCTGTACACAGTTCCACAATCTATTTTGAAAAAGATCATATTCTATGAAGTTAATCTCATGGCCCAGCTGAATTTCGATGACTATGGACAACTCAGCCCTTCTGTGAATTAAGGAGACCACATGTAGACACACGCAGAAAGACACATTTGATGTGCTGTAATTAAGTTTTAAATTCAACATGCTCTCCTCATGCAACCTACAGCATTGTAAAAATCACATGAATTGAAAGAGTTGAGTTCACTTTCTGACCAGCTCAGAGAGATCAAGGTGGATAGCTGGACTTGGGTGATTTCTAACCTTTGGATCTGGATTCATGAAATGCACACAACCCCAATTTCTCCGGTATCACAACCTAGGATTTTCCCTCTAGGCCTGAAGAAGGTAGGAAAAAAAAAAGAGTAAGACTCTTTTGGAAATGGTTTAACCCTATGGCAGGCTTTGGTTACAGATCCTGGTTTCTATAAACCTTAATGAGCAACCCTCTCCGTTCATGCAACGTGGCAAGTCCAAGACTCCTGTGTGTACTAGGAGGGAAAATTAGTGGCGTACGAACAAAGCTGGGATTAAGTCCCAGGCATCACCCTCAAACTGTCACTCCTGAGCCAAGATGTTTAGAGATTCAGCCCTTAAGCCTGAGCACTTCATACGGCTGTTTGCTGAGCGAGCTTGGTCTTGCAGCTGAACCTGTTATGTGGGCTCAGCCCTATTTCTTTATTTAATGCAGTGTTTCTCAACCTTAGCAACTTTAAGATGTGTGGACTTCAACTCCCAGAATTCCCCATGGCTGGCTGGGGAATTCTGGGAGTTGAAGTCCACACATC